TTTTTACTTTGCCTAAGTCATGTTCTTATTCTGGATAGTGGTTGTAATTATGACGATCTTAAATATAATTTTATTTTTTCAAAAGTCTTTATAATTTTTTTCGGAATAAATATAAAATTAGAAAATTTATAATTTTTTTTTAATTATATTTCTTAATTTTTTTTTAATAATACAATTTAATAATACAATTATTATATTGCATATCATAAAATTCATAATTTAATAAATTTATATTTATANAGTTTTTTTATTAATTCTTTAAAACAAAATTATTTTATAAAATACAATTAACATAAAATATAATTAAAAAATATAATAAATAAATTTCTTGACATCACTTTATATGATAAATATGCAATATAATTTTTTTTATACAATAATCATTATTAGATTTTATAAATTTAATTAATTGAATAAAAGTACATTTTTTTTTTTAATATATAATAATTATAGAAATTACAATATAATTAAATATTCAATTAATGAAACTACAATTATATATATAATTAAATCTAAATTTAAATACAAATTTTACATTTTTAGTATCACAATTTTTCTTCTAATAAAATTCTGAATAAAAATTAATCATAGAATTTCAGAAAATTTGAGATTGATAAATATTATTTTCTGATAAACTATTTTTTAAATAAATTATAATTTTAAATTATAGTTTTTATTCCAATAAATCTGATGGTACATTATCTGGTAATTTAACCCCATATATTGTTCCTATATAAGATGCTATTTTGCAACCATATTCTAAACAATGTTTTGGTTTCCAACGAGCTAAAACACCTGCTAAAAAACCAGCAGCCAAAGCATCATCAGCATCTATTGTATCAATAACAGGAATTTTTGGTTTAATTGGGAGTACCTAAATAAACAAATTTTTATTCAATCTTTTCATTTAAAAAATTGATTTTTTTTTTTATTTTTAACATACTTGAGCAGATTGACTTTTTCCCCAAACAGCAATTGTTGGAGCAGATGTACCTTGAGTCATAACAAATACTCCCCCATGACGTAACCAATCTTTTTTGACTGTATTACAAACATTAATTGTAATTCTTTTTAAACTATTTAATAAAAATGGTATATCTGATACATCATCATATGTAATATTTAATGATTGAGCTAAAGCTTCCATTTCTCTTGAATTACCAAATACAATATTTGAATGTCCTACCATTTCACAAACTGCTGTACGAAAATCCTATAAGAGATAATATGTTGTTAATAACGAATATATATATTTTATACATATGTTAAAGTACTATAATATAAATATAATAATCTCGTTTTTTTCATTAATTAATTGACATTATTAATCAAATTCTAGAATATTTATTTACATTAAATATATATGTCCCACTTATATTAAAAGCTATAATTATATCTTTTTCTTCTGCTTGTTTAACAAGTTCTTTTATTACAGAAAAACTATGAGGTATGAAAAATCCTTCAATATATATTATTTTTATTCTATCAAATGATAAATTGCATGCTTTAAGATCATTTAAAGTATATTTAGCAGCAGCTCCTACATTTGCAACAAGACTACGATATAGTTCACTTATCAATACTATACATTGTCCTGTACTTAAATTTGAATGAATTGCATATCTGCAAAAATATATATATTTAAAAATATATATTATAATGAAAATAAAATAAAGCAAAGAATTTAAAGCATCTGCAAACCTAGCATCCACACCTGCTGACTGAACTAAACTTTGTAACATTATTCCTTTACAATCATTACCAATTGCTCCAGAAAAAATACAATATTGATTTTGAAAAGTTTCATCATAAAGCCATTGTATAATTCGCATTGTATTTTGTGCTGATCCTCCAGGATAGACTACCTGTTTTGATCTATTTCATTATATTATTAATAATCTCTAAGTTTTGAATAAGTTTTTTATATAATAACAAAAATCTAATATTTTTAATAAATATTAAAATAATTTAATTTACATTATATATTTTTTATATATAAAATAGTAATAACGATTATTATTTTCTGATAAACTATTTTTTAAATAAATTATAGTTTTAAATTATATACTTAAATATACTTATGTTTATTTAAAATTATGAAAAAAAAATATTTATACAAAATATAAAATGTAACAATTATTAATAAATATACTTATTAACTCTTGCGGTATATCTGCCAATAATTCTTGCATTTTATCTTCAGAAAATTCTACTTCTCCATCTACATTAAGATTATATTTTTTTAATAAATCATTATTTTTTATTTTTACAAACATATCTAATAAAGGATTGCCAAAAGCAATAATTGCAGGAGCATTAAGATTTTTAATAGATTCTCTTAATGGTTTATCTTTTTCAACCATTTTTATTAATAAGTTTATAAGTTTTTTATATTACATTTATGAACAAAGTTTTTTTGTGTTCAAAGAATTTGTGTTCAAAAAATTTTTAAATTTTACTTGTAACACATCGAATATGATTATTAAATACATAGATTATTGTTTAATTTTTCTTATTTCTTATTTATTTCTAAAAATAGTAATAAAAAAGTAACTATAATATTTATCTTTATTGTTTGAAGATATAAATAAATTTAAAACATTTTTTTCATATCGTATTAATATTTTAATATACTTTTAAAATTATTCATTTTTGTTATAACAAGAAATAATAAAAAAAATGAATGTATCTTATATTTTTGTTTTCAAAATTGGCATAAAGGTTACTTTACAAAGTAGTTTTACAAAAATATAATTATTGTTTTTTATTAAATATATAATAATAAATTTTTATAATTATTTTCATTCATATTTATATAATTATGGTACTCATATTTTAGTAAAAATATATACAAATTATTATTATATTATTCTATTCTATTTTGATATGAATTACCATGTCTTTATTTAATTTTATATATATAATACATTATTATGTTATATTTTGTTATATAAAATATATATTTAAGAATTTTTTTGTTACTTATTTTTTTTAAGATAATTAAAAATTATCATTATTACATATTAATACTTTATCATATGTGTGTATTAAAGTTACAAAATGGATGCGCATGTTGTAATTTGAATATAAGTAACATAACCATTGTGCATATGATATCTATATATTTTTAAATACAAATTAAATAAAAGAAATAAGTGAATTCTATATTTTAAAAATGGTTCGTAAAAAAATAGATAATCGTATTCGTATTTTAATTGAAAATGGTGTTATTACGGGATATAGAACAATGTTTATTATTATTGGTGAAAAAGCACGAGATCAGGTTTGATTATATATAATTTAATTGCAATTTAATAATAATAAATAATATTTATATTTTAATTTTTTTATTTAATTTTAATTTTAAAATTTAAAATATCACAATTTTTTATTAGGTTGTTTTACTACATCATATGTTATCAAAATCTATTATAAAAGCTAGACCCTCTGTACTTTGGTGTTATAAGAAAGAATTAGGATTTAGTAGTCACAGAAAAAAAAAAATGAAATCCTTACAAAAAAAAGTTAAATCAGGAAAGTTGGATGTTAATGAAGATGATCCATTTGAATTATTCGTTGTTTCTACTAATATACGATATTGTTATTATCATGAAACACATAGAATATTAGGAAATACATATGGCATGTGTGTTTTACAAGTAAGATTCTTTATTTGTTTTGATTTGATAAATATAATTAATTTAATTTTATTTTAAATATAATTAGCAAAAAATTAATTCTTAGGATTTTGAAGCTCTTACACCAAATTTATTAGCACGTACTATTGAAACTGTTGAAGGAGGAGGACTGATAATATTTTTATTACAATCAGTAAATTCTTTAAAACAACTATATACTATGAATATGGATGTTCATCAAAGATTTCGTACAGAAGCACATCAAGTATATTATTCACTTTTTTCTATTAATTTAAAGATAGATTTTGTTAATTATAAATTTAATTTTAATTAATTTATTTAAATTTAAGAAATAACTTTAAAAATTAATTTTCTAATATTTTATTTTAGAATATTATTGGTCGATTCAATGAAAGATTTTTATTGTCTCTTGCTTCATGTAAAAGATGTTTGGTTGTTGATGATCAATTAAATGTATTACCTTTGTCATCACATAATTTAAAAATTGAACCTATACAAAAATTATCTTCTTCTGAAACATTATCAGAATTAGATACATTAAAAGAGAGTTTAAAAGATACACAACCTATTTCTTCTCTTGTTAATTGCTGCAAGACACTTGATCAGGTTTAATACTAAAAGATATATTAAATATATTTATATGTATATATATATATATATATGAAATAAATGAAGAGTATTTTATAATTTATTTATTTTATATTGATTTATTTATTAAATGGTTAATTGATTTTATATTATATACATACATATTAATAATTTTCACATAAATATTAATATTTTCAGGCAAAAGTGCTTCTCAAATTTATTGAATGTATATCAGAAAAAACATTAAGATCTACTGTTTCTTTAACTGCAGCTAGAGGTCGTGGAAAATCTGCAGCATTAGGTTTAGCTGTTGCTGCTGCTATAACATTTGGTTATTCAAATATTTATATTTCAAGTCCAAGTCCAGAAAATTTAAATACATTATTTGAATTTATTTTTAAAGGTAAACATCAACAATAAATATTATTTTTTAGTAGAATATTTAATAGAATAATTTTATATTATTTTTAGGATTTGATGCATTAGGATATCAAGAACATCTTGATTATGGACTTGTACAATCTACAAATCCTGAATTTAATAAAGCTATTATACGTGTAAATATTTTTCGAGATCATAGACAAACAGTTCAGGTATAATATTCTTAATATGTAAAATTTTTTATAATAATTTTAAAATTATTTGTTAAAATATTAATATAAATACATTGATAAAGAAATCAATTTTTTTTAGTATATTCATCCAACTGATGCACATAAATTAAATCAAGCTGAATTACTTGTAATAGATGAAGCTGCAGCAATACCTCTTCCTTATGTGAAAGCTATGCTTGGTTCTTATTTAATATTTCTTGCATCAACTATTAATGGGTAATTATATCTTATATTTTAATTTTTAATTATTGTTCAATCATTTTATATAATCATAATTTATATGTGTTTTTAATATAATTTATATTAATATAATATTAACATAAATAATATATAATTTATATATGTTTTAATAGATATGAAGGAACAGGTAGATCTTTATCATTAAAACTATTACAACAATTAAGAAATCAAACCATTAGTTCAAATAGTCACGATAAACAAAGAAATGAAAAGATTATTATTGGAAGACAATTACATGAATTGACTTTAGAAGAATCTATTCGTTATAAACCAGGAGATTCTATTGAACAATGGCTTTGTGATTTATTATGTTTAAATGCTACAATAAATACACCTATATTATCTGGATGTCCATCACCTGATATATGCGAATTATATTACATAAATAGGTAACATATCTTATATAAATTTATATTATATAATTACATTATACATTATATATATTCTTTTTAGAGATACTTTATTTTCTTATCATAAAGCATCTGAATTATTCTTGCAAAGATTGGTA